CCACCTTTCCTGCAGCCCCTTCCAGCAGTGCAGGGCCGCAGGAAGGTCTCCCCGCAGCCTTCTCTTCCCCAGGCTGCACAAGCCCAGCTCTCCCAGCCTGGCCTCAGAGCAGAGCTGCTCCAGCCCTCGGACCATTTCTGTGGCCTCCTCTGGCCCCGCTCCAACAGGTCCCTGTCTGTGCGGTGCTGAGGGCCCCCGAGCTGGGCGCAGGGCTCCAGGGGGGGCTGAGCAGAGCGGAGCAGAGGGGCAGAGCCCCCTCCCTCGCCCCGCTGCCCACGCTGCTGGGGATGCAGCCCAGGGTGGGGTTGGCTTTCTGGGCTGCCAGCGCACGTTGCCGGCTTGTGTCCAGAAGAAGGAAATCATCTCCTACATCCCATCTCCTGCTTCTTCCAGGACTCCCAGTTTCTTCAGATTTTTTTGTGTTCCAGCAAAAGGAAAAAAACCCGCTCATTCTTCTCAAGCTGAATTTACCCACCCCAGCTTTTCACCCCGCTCACTCCACTGCGTCGCAGCTGATTTATTTTCCTGCTGCCACCTGAACGGCTTACCCTGCTGCAAGAAGTTTGCTGGGTTTGCAGATAGCAATACGAGATAGCAATGCAGCTCCTGATGCTCAGCATCAGTTAAGATGATTTTAAGAAGATCAGTGAAGAAGATCAATCTGCTCCCTGGGGAATAAGGGCACCGCAGCTGCATCCGCACTGAGCTAATTGGTTAATGAGGCAGCTACACCTTTCAACAAAAGATCTAGGAAAACAACCTGGTTGATATAATACAAAAGGTTAAAAACAACAAAGCACAAGGACTGAAGGCTCTTCTCTCCTCAAATGTTGTTCCTAAAACAATACTGATCAAAGCTTGCTTTTTACCTGTTTTTGTTTTCCAGCTCTGCTATCAGCTGTCTTTGTTGTTTATTGGCATCAAAGCTGAAACCCAGGTCTGTTGGTGGGCGAGGCTGGTGGATGAGGAACAGAGAAAAATTAGGCAAAACATTCATTACCTGTTACCACACATGACACAGTTTGGATCCAGCCCCGTACTTCCTCAAGGCTGTGGTACAACACTTACAGCCCAGGCTGCAAAACTATGAAAATAGCTGTGCTGGGATGGACTACGGGGGCACGTCGAGGTGTGGTTTTACAGCTGGCTTGGTCTGATCTCAGGGTGGGCGGCTGCTGAAGGGGTGACCTGGCTCATCGTCCTCACTATCCGTCTGAAGAATTTTATTTGCCTTTTTTTTTAAAGACGTTCAGGAAAAAATACACCATACCTATCTGTTCCTAAAGCACCGACAGGCTTCCCTGGGAAGAGGTGCAGTTATACCTGTATCAAAAAGTCTTTTAATGAAACATTGACCTTCCCATATCTCAGCTAGTGAAGAAAAGTTAGAATAACTTAGAGCTTATGAACAGGATTATTCACAGACATTAAATTTAAGCATGGTCACTGCCTCTGGAAAATCTAATTCTTCTCAACCCCTCAAAAGCATCAACTGAAGGGAGGTTGCTGAATAAATGTGTTTTCCCAGTGAGTCCTGACCTTTGTGATCCTGGTGTTTGGCACACTTTTCACCAGCAACCATCACCACTAGTGAGAAAAGGACTGGGCAATTAACCAAAAACCTGTGGCTTCTGGGAGAACCTGTTGGCAGCTGGGTTGGATGGTGAAGAAGACAGTTATAAGGACCAAGAAGAGAGAGAGAGGAGAATTCCAGGGTCTTGTACTGGTTCAGTGCATTTTCCCAATGGAATCCTAAGATGCTGCTTAGACAATCTAGTACAACTCAAAACTATCCTTCTGGCCATCAGACACAAGAAGTTGTCCACTCGGAGCTGGGAAGACATCTTTTATCATGGAGAGGTCTCCCTGCCTAAGAAATGCCTGAGGAATGAGATGGTACGCAGGGTCTGCTTCTGACACCAGGTCATTGCAGAATGGTTGAGGTTGGAAGGCACCTCTGGAGGTCATCTGCTCAAGCAGGGCCACCCTGAGCCGCTTGCCCAGGACTGTGTCCGGACAGCTTCTGAGTGTCTCCAAGGTAGGAGACTCCACAACCTCCCTGGGCAACCTGTGCCAGCGCTCGGTCACCCTCACACTGCGCTTCCTGATGTTCAGAGGGAACCTCCTGTGGTCCCGTTTGTCCCTGTTGCCTCTGGTCCTGGCCCTGGGCACCACGGCAAGAGCCTGGCTCCCTCTCCTTCATCCCCTCCCCGCAGGTATTTACAGACATGGATTCAGTCCCCTGAGCCTGCTCTGCTCCAGGCTGAGCAGTCCCAGCTCCCTCAGCCTCTCCTCACAGCAGAGATGCGCCAGTCCCCAAATTAATTTCCTTATTCCGGTGGTCTTTGGGTCCCGTGCAGGGAGGGTGTGTTCATATTGGTAGGAAGATGATTAAGGCCATGGAGCCTCTGCCTTTTACCACGTACTGGAGAAATGGGGTGTCTTCTGACACAGCAGAGCCACTTCTGTGCTCTGCTTTTGCCTTTTTGCTTTCATCTGATCTCAAGACTGCACAGAGTTTTACCACAACATTTTCAGAAGGACCTCAGATTGGGATCCTGGTTTCGGAAGACACTTTCACAACCATATTTGGAAACTATTTGGCTAGAAAAACAGCAGTCGGATGGAAGAGCTTGGTATCCATCAGTGCTCCTGGAGACAGGGTGGAGAGTGACAGATCCAGGACGAAGGGGACAGACACTGCTAGGCTTTCAGTTTTATTGCGCTGTGGGTATCTAGAGCTTCCTATTTAGGCTTGAATTGCAGATAGCAGTTCTCTTCTTTGGGCAAAACCCATGTGGTGGGTGGGCTTGCATGTGGTAAATGAGGCTTGCTTGAAAGACGTGCCTACAAGCTGGTCTTCTGTGTACTCCTGGGGGATCTGACGGACACATCAGGAGTCTCCTAATGATGTGGAAATTGCCTGTGTAAAAACTGCTTTGTACGGCAAGAAACAAAACATCTTGGGAGTTAAAATGAACCATGTGAAAAATAAAAAGAAATCAACCCAGAAACCGAAGTGCAGAAACACAGTTCGTTGCAGCAGGGTCAGAAACTCCCCCTTTTTCCCCAGGCAGCGCGGAGGAGCTGACGGCACAGGGTGGGCTCTGCTCTCGCACCGAGGAATGGGGCTGGTGTGGGCGAGGAGCTGGGACGGACCTGCCGATACAGCCGGGGCAAAACCCCAGCTCTCATCTCCCATCTCATCTGGACGTTCGGGGTAGGTGCACAGCATAGGCAGCAGCACTGCCAAGGAGTGACCTGAATCGTCTTGGTGTAGATAACACTGATACGACCTACTGGTTGCCCCGAAACAGTGCGTCACCAAGCCGAGGTCCCATGGTCTCTCCCTGCGTCCCGGTACAATCAGCTACGAGGACAAGTGCAGGTGACGTGTTTCACCTCCAGCCTCAGGAGCTTCCTGAGGCTTTGGGGCTCTTTGGGCTCCATCCAAAGCACATGAACCTTTGTTCTGCTGCAAAGCAGGACTGTGCCTGTAAAACCACAATCTTGTCCTTAATCCCTTCCTTCAGAAATCCTGTCTGAAATCACCCTCATGACCTAAAGTACTCAAGTCCCCAGGAACAAACACAACGCTGTAGAGAACTTAGAGGAGACACATCCCTCATGCTGCTCGCTTTCAAACACCGCTAGTCAAGAGGTCTTTTGGAAACTGTACAGCGGCTATTTTGTATGACAATTCAATGTTCTCTTATTTGTTCTATTGCTTCCAACAGTCCATTTAATTTTTCATTGTAACTCAGAATCACAGAGTCATTGGGGTTGGCGAGGACCTTTTGAGATGGTCTAATCCAAAACCCCTGCTCAAAGTAATGTCAACTACAGCGGGTTGCTCAGGACATTGTCCAGCTGAGTTTTGAATACCTCCAAGGATGAAGACTCCACAACCTGCCAGGGTGACCTGTTCCAGCGTTTGAGCACTTACACCATAAGCAAGTTTTTCCTTTTGTTTAAATGGAAGTAAGCCAGTGCCCATTGCCTCTTGTTCTCTCACGGCACCACTGAAGAGAGTCTGGCTCCACCACCTTACTTGCAACCATCATGTATTAATACACAAAAAGACCCCCCACAAGTCTTCTCAAGGCTAAACAAGCCCAGAAAAAAAAAATTCAGGCTGCTGATTCTCCACCAACATTTAGACCTTCCAGGTTCTTAAACTTAAAAGGCACCTGATGCTCAGTCTGCAAGTCTGCAAAGGGGATGCCTATGCTGGTGAAATAAAAAGCACCAGGCAGAGGCAGTGGAATTTGATCACCCGTACTGTTAGATACTTAGTATGGCCCCTGCCTTATTTTTAGCCCAGACTAACTAGCTCTCTCAAGCAATTCTCAGCATGGTTTGGGATTTACCCTAAGCCGAGAACTATCCGCAGCAGGTGGTTTGTATGCAGCTGCACTGTTCTGGAGGGTGAGAGTGCTCAATATTATAGATGTGGGCACCAGAAGTTTTTAATGACTGCTATACACAAAGCCCAAGTGTCTACTGTACACTCAGCTACTGAGATATAGCACTTATCTCTCACCTAATCTGCACTACAGCGTGGACTCAGGCGGAGAGGTGTCTAAACTCTTGCATATTCAAGTGCATCAGTCACCTGAGACAGTGTTGAGCCTGCTGAAAATACAACAGAGGTACGTATCTAATTGCTACTGCACTTGTCCAGACAATATCTGACACCAGTTCTAGATATATCTGACCTTGAATGGGTAATAAGACACAGCCCCTGTGCCACATTCCCCAAGAAAGAGGCACCCTGGGAGGCAGCAGCCTCCATCCTCCCTGCCGAAGCCCAGCCGCAGGCAGCAGCGCAAGATGCAGTGGTGGTCAGGAGGCAGCCCTGGGATTCTGGTTCGTGCTCTCTGGGTTAGGTTTTATTAAAAAAAAAATTCCACTGGTGGTCTAATATTAAAAAATATTAACTGCCCAGGACATGGAATTTACAGCCTTGGGGTAAAAACTCAGATTAGAAAAGAGAAAAGAGACTGAAGACAACACAGACAGGTGTTTCAAGTAGCTGGGGCATGAGGAGATTCATCAGAGCACTTAGACCTTGGTACTTAAATAAACCTGAGACATTCTCAGAGCTTTTGTGTTCATCTCTGAAAGCACTACGTTTTACAAGGTGGCACTCCCGACGCTAGAAGAGGCTATCCATAAAGGTTACACCTAGAAACAACGTAAGAAGGAACTACCAACTCAGACCAGTCAGCTTAGCCTCAGTTCTTGGGGAAAAAACACAAACCAAAACCGCTTGTAAATACTACACCGAGTTTTTTATATTTAATAAATACTTTACATGGAGTTTTTAAAAACAAATCATGCCAAAGCAAACTACTTCCCTTCCATAGTAAAAAATCAAACCCTATGTATAGGAGAGAAACTGTTAAGACAATAACACTTCCACCTCAGCAATGCTTTTGACATCCTCTTGTGGGGTTTCACAGCTTTTCTCTTAGATTTAGTACGATTCAATATTTTCATTAATATCACGGATGATGGAATAAAGTATTTACTTCTTACATCTGCAGACTGTATCACACTGTGGGGAGCTCCTACTGCTTTATAGGACAAGGTAAAATATAAAATATACTAAAATACAAAATGATTTGAGAAATTGGAGAAATGGCTTGAAAAAATAGGTTGCACTCTATTAAGACAAGTGCAAACTCTCATATTTACTTTTGACATGTCAACTACATAAACACCCAGTGGACAAGGCAGCAGTTCTGCGAAAATTGATTTGCAGATGAGTTTAATTCACAACCCAAACATGAGTCAATAACCTCACGCTGTTGCAGAGCCCAGGAACGCGTTGTTTGAAGCACGGTATGCTATGTACTACAGCGCATGACTTTTCCCTGGTCTCTGACCCAGGTGAACTACTGTTTCCAGCATGAGCATTACAATTTAAAAAAAGCTAAGGGTCACCGGGAGAAAGAGGGTGAAGAAGAAGAATGATCAGAGGTCTGTAAATCATTACAAGGAGGAACGACTGAAAGAATGAAGAGAATAAAAGAATGAGAGAAGACAACATAAGAAGCTTCAAATATACAACACTTGTTGCAAAGAGGCAAGTAATATATTGCTCTCCATAATCCCTGGGATAGGAGAGTGAGTAGCGGGCTCAAACCAAGCAAGGAAGCATTATGTTAGGATTCAGGGAAAACTTTACTGGCAGATGAATTTATGCATTGGAACAAATTTCCTCGATGGACTCCATCTGGAGTGGACTCCAGCCACTGAGGGGTTTTTTTTTTAAATAATTTGGATAAGCATCTGCCCAAGAACGGTTTGTGCATAGCCGAGCTGGCCTACAGTGGAAAATGCCTGTAGGTAGGTCCTAGCTGGCCTGGCACTATTCAGAACCAGGGGAACCACTAAACTGTCAGGGCACTTCACCTTTGATAACGCGGGCGCAGGCTGCAGGTAGGGTGTTCACATTTACACCAATCTATTACTCGCACAGAGATAAGGTATATGATCAAATATTCAAAAGTGATGGCCAACTTCCATTCTCATACTGCAGAGCGCGATGTTGGTTGGTTGGCCATTTCCAGCCTCTGCTGATTCCTCGCAGGTCACCATTTCATTTCAAAGAACCTAAGGGAAAACCTTCCTCTCATCAATAAACAACGCTAGGTAGCTTGCTTGTCTCTATTTAGATCTAGTGTGGAAACACGTCACCTTCTGGTTCCACAGCTGAAACTTTCCCTGAGCATTGCTTCCTGCGGTGTGGTAAATGGCAATGTCTGGGAACATTTCACCCCTGCCCCCATCATCATCATCATCATCATCATCATCATCATCATCATCGTCATCACCGTATCTTTTAAAAAAAGTAATCCTTCCTCTAAAATACCCTCAGAATGTCCTGTAACTCATATTTCTATCAAATCTAAAGATATTGGAGATCCGCACTATTTTCAGGCTTGTGAACTAGATACACAGTTATTTGGATCAACAACTTCCCATCTCTTCTGCTTTGACTGAGGGAGATTTTTTCTTTATCCTTTAAAGCCCCCAAAATCTGACTCCCAGACACCTTTCTGCTCACACCACCTCTCAAGCTCTTTGATTAGGTTTTCTCTATCACTCTTTCTTTTTTCTTTTATCGTTCTTGTTACCAGTTTTCATTCATATTGCTTTATGAACCTCTAACCTGGGAGAAAAACCACAGCATTTCATAGAAACTAATGAAGTGACTGACCATCACATTCTCAGTATCAAAGAAGTAAGATTAACCAAGAACTCAGATTTTTTTCTTTTTCAGTTCTGTTGATGGAAAGAAGTCTTTGTGTTTACATTGCAATTTTGGGTGGCTTTTCTAGTAGCACAAGCATCGCATCTATTTCAACCCTTTTTTTTCTCCAAGTACAAGAGCCTGGTAGTCTTACGCAGCACAGTTGTGCAGCATTTGTACAAAATCCGACATTCTGCCCACAAAACCACACGTGAGTTCCTAGCATCCAGTGTGCTGGGCATCTGTATTCACTTCTTCTCACAAACTGGAAGTCATTTAAGTAACTGAAAACTTCTTATCAGTTACTTTGCTCACAGGATCAGTAGCCTTAATCTTTCCCTGACTGATCATTGATCAATAATCCCCCAAGTTCCTTTACAACCTAGCTGTGAGATGTAACTATTTTCTCTGTGACAGGCAAGCATCTTGCTGTAGCCTGTATAAAAACACAATGTCATAATGAAAGAGTTTACAATGGACACCTGGATTTGAAAAAGTTTGTCGCTGCCTTTCTCAAGCCTAGATGATTGCAGGCTGTTTTATGGAGCAGACAGTTTAAGAAACCCTGGTTCATCCTTTGCAGTGATCTCAGGATGCCCTTACTCTGCTGAAAACATCAGATTTCATGGGTGTGAAGTATTACTTGAGGTACAAGGATTCTGAAGAATGACTGAGAAGCTGATGGACATGGCGTGGGACCTGTTAGTGATCTAAGGGTTTCAAATTAAATTCATATGGGTATCGCATTACCTCCTGTGGATGCGAGTATTTCAAATGCATCTTCTAAATACGACTATTAGGAGATAATTATAAAGTATGAGGTATCATTCAAATGTGCAAATAGCATTCTGGGCTTCAGGTTGGACACTGGTAGGACAGCCTGTATTTCTTTAGTGAATGAACTCCTCTGGAACACATGGAAGGAAACCCAACTGTAGTTGCTGGTCTCATTTCTGCCCAGCATTTTATTAACACCAAATTCTTACTGTCATCGCCTTTGGAAGAGTTTTGGGTATATGGTATAGGATTGCCATGGCAAATCCTATTCTTCTCATAAATCCAGGGGGACAGAATTCATTAGAGCATTTGCATGCTACTATTTACTCTGATGAGAGGCACCTGTCCTCTCTATGAAGTTGTATGTGGTTCTTAAAACCTCTGCACTTAAAAAAAAAAAAAAAAAACAACCCAAAACATTCATTTACTAGTCAGCACTCCTACGCTTGCACTCCATCTTGCTGGACAGGTATGAACGACTTGTGTCTTCCAAGATTTATTACTGTAATTCCTTTCTTTAAAAAGCCTAGCAGGTTCAGCTCCCTACCTGCTCAGCAGCACTGAACACTACGGACATACCCCCTTTCTACTCAACTCTTACAAAGGCTTTCTACTACAGAGTGCAAAGACCTGGTGGGAGTCAACAGGTTAAGACGTAAGGTCTTCAAAATTACTGCAAAAAACCCCACAAAACCCCAAACCCCATTTTTGCATGTGCATGAGAAAATGAACAGAGTTTATATTATTTTGTCCTCTGTAGCCTTCCTTCTCAGTAAGGAGTAAATATCTCAGGAAGAGAACAGTCATAACTATTATGGCATAGAAGCAATGTGGAGATATTTTCTTGGCCCTATGGGATGCAGCTCCCAATTTTCTGACAATAACATAGTGTGACCAAACCCCAAAACATTATAGACCCCTGCAGAAACCACCTATAGAGCTTATCCAGAATAAAAGGATTTTGAAGTATGGTGGAGCTCAAAAAGAAAAAAGACTTTTTGACAGTGAATTGTAACATAGGTCTCTTGATTTATACCAAACAGCAGCAAGACCAAAGCTGAAGCTTTTTGAGCTGAGGACTAACATTTTAAAAGTTAAAATGTTAAAAAAAAGTTTAAAAGCTAAATAAACCATCCAACACAGTTGAAGATACGATTACCATTGTCTTCTGCTTTGCCAGTGCTCAGCAGGAAAAAAGCCTCAACAGTTCTGAGAAGATCATCCAAATGGCAAGCCCCATTTTCTCTCAGCAAGAAAATTCATAAGATGATCATAAAATCTACTTAACATCCTTAATATCATATAGGAAGAGTAAAACCTTCTAGCACTGTAGTACAATTTTCCTATGAATAAGCCATTAAACTTGAGAGAGCGCCATGCTGGAGCTTCAAGTCATAGAATCATAGAATATCTCAAGTTGGAAAGGACCTGTAAGGATCATCGAGTCCAACTCCCTGTCAGACTGGTATTTGCAATAAGGAGCATTCAGACCTCACCTACAGTATAGGTTTTTTTGGGTGATAGAAGATTTAACGACAACATTTAATCAAGCCCCAAAAAGCCCGTTTGGCAAGCCGTTGCACTCCTCCATCACCCTGATTTGGAAGAAACTGTCAAAGAACAGTAAACCTTGCGTCTCATGGGCATCAGATGCCAGGTTCCTTGGTGCAAGAATGTCATGGTGTCATGGAAGGTCTGGACTAGTACTTCACCTTCCCATCGCTGTAGTATCACAGTGTTCTTTATGATCAACAGACAAAGAGGGGGAGGAAACAAATAACAAAAATGGTTCATACAACTGGTGTATCCAGGAGAAGAAGAAATGATCCAAGAATAGAATGGAATAGAATCATTAAGGTTGGAAAGGACCTCTAAGATTATCTAGTCCAACCATCAACCCAACACCACCATGCCTACTAAACCACATCCCGAGTGCCAGAACCAAGCTGCAGATTTATCCTGCAGATGTACAACAGGAAATCTGGTTTACTTGTTCTTTCTTTATTTAAAAACTATTCATTAAATAATGCCTGAAGCCTAAAAGAAAAGTGACATGAAGGGAATATTACAAACATTATTTAGGTTGTAGGTAGCTTTAACGAGATGAGATGATGATAGGTTTTTAGCAGTGCTTAATGTTGAGGGAAGAAGAGCAACCACACACCGTTTTCGAAAAAGAGCAACGTGGGCAAGAACCTAATTATCGCAACTCATCCACATAGCTCAACCTAATTATCCACCCATCCATAATTGAGTATTATCTCATATTTATTAGGTGCTCGTGCTTTGCCTAGCAGTGAGGCTGCACAAGTCAGCAGAGTCCTTCCAAGAGTGCACGGTCCCTGTGGACCCCTGCTCCTGCCGAGTGCCACGGGCTGCTGCCTGCCATGGTGGGTCACTCTCCATCAGAAGTCATCGGGAAGCAGCAGGCACATCTGGCTCACAGACCAGATACTGACCTGTGCTTGTACGAATCAACCTAGCCAGGTGTATCAGCAGAAACTCAGGAGGACCTGGGAATGTGCTAACAGCAGAAAATGAGGAAAAAAAAGAGCTGAGGTAGAGCAGGTGGGAGAGGAGATGAAGGAGGTATCTGCTTGGAGAAAGGGAGGTGTTGTGTAGGACACTGATAACAGAGGGCCTAGGGTTGCTTTATATATATATATGGCTATATAGACATATATTCACCTAAAATACACATAATCACCCCTTCTCTTAAAAGCATGCAGTCACCTTACATGCAGGATTACCTATAGTCAAGTAATAGGGCAGTATTGAGGCGGGATCTGATACGTATGTGGAAGGGATTTTGTAAGGGAAAGTAGGCAAGGGGGCTGGGGAGACAGGAGGTCATTTTCAGTCTCTGTTTTTATCAAAAAGATGATGGCTGATAGGAAATACCGGATTATTTCTTACCTCAGGCTGATAATCTGAACAGATCAGCAGAGGGAGACAAACAGATGAGGTTGTGATCTTGAAAGTTGTGCTTTAAATGAAGTTTGGCTTGCTTTCCATTAAGTTCTTCACTTTATTCATCTAGTCACCTTCTGCTTTTCTCTCTTTTGCTTTCCAGCTAACCGGTCTAGTGGAGCCAGCCAACAGTTATTTTAATGCACAGCACTCTCCTGTGACCAAACTGGCAGGCCAAGCATAGCCCTGAGCAACCTCAGTTCAATGAAAGGGATTTTGTCTTCTGAAGACTGGCTTGAGGAAAACAAGAGCAGCCCCAGTCAGAGCTTGTTTGAGCGAACACAGACTAAGCTGCTGTCTAGCAGTGCGTAATTGCACTGGTGGCATGCCATCAGCCTGGCCTGCACTACTGAGCAACTCACATGTATCAAGTGACAAACGATGCATTCTCCTTTCTTCTCCTCCCTCCCCATTTATTTTTCTTCTTTAAGAAGAAACAGACGTGGATTTCAAGAATTTAACCCTGAGATCTGCAATTATTTTGTCCCAGTAAGACTTCAAGCAAAGGCATTTCCCCTAAAAACGTTAATGGAATGTATTTGCATTCATATGGCGAGTGACATTTATTATAGTAACAAGCCTGCAGAAGGCAGTTCTAACGCTTTATCTAATTTGAGAAAAAGCAGAAACTGATGGACTGAGTCAGATCCATTGCCTCATAGTCCAACGTACAACTTCCAGCAGTGACCACTGCCAACTACGTCAAAGAGAAGAGTAAGAAACTTTGCATTAGGCTGTTGTAGTATGAACAGTCTGTATCTGGGATCCTCTTAATTTCTAGCAGTTAGAGCATGTTAAAAAGTAAAGCACATTATGTCTGAGAGGTAGGGCTGGAGAAG